CGCTGCCTAACTGTCCAGGTTCTTAGCCGGTCCTCTTCACATGCCAATGACGACCGGGTCACAACCGGTTCGTCACGGGCTACTATTAACGCTTTGTTATACCACATCAGTTATGGAACTATTTTGTCGGAGTTTGTAATCGTTTGATCAATTATCTCCATGGTTACATGATGATCGAACAGTTAAAAACCCGACAGAATGATTTCATAACGGGACCATAGAATTTCTCAATAATAATAATAATAATAATAATAATGATAATAATTCTTTTTTTTTTTTTTTAATAATGATAATAATTCTGATACGCATGTTTGCACCAAAAAAAGGTCGTGTGATGAACATTTCATTCACTCAATTACTTTCACTGAGTAGTTGTTTTGGTTAAAATACTAAAATATTTCTCAATATAAAAAATAAAAAAAAAATCATTTAATTGCTTTACGTTTCGTCTTCCCCATAAATATTTGCGTCCAAAATAACACCGAATTCAAATTTCGAGCTATAGTCTCAAATAAGTGAAAAGAAAGAAAATTTTTCTAAAATCGTGCAACGATGGCGGCGAAGTTTTTATCGATGGCATGCATAGGGGCGGCTGAGAGCGGTAATTTGTCCCCGCGGCCGCGCTACCCATCGATGCCCAGCTACCCCAAAGGCGTCGTCGTTTCGTCCGACGAGGAGAAAATCGAGGCGGCGTCGGCGGCGGCGGCCACCTTCTCCGTCGCTGGAATGACGTGCTCCGCCTGCGCCGGGTCCGTGGAGAAGGCCGTCAAGCGCCTTCCCGGGATCAGGGAGGCGGCGGTTGACGTCTTGAGCGGCCGCGTCCAGGTCCTGTTTTTCCCGGCTTTTGTCAATGTGAGTGATTAAATTTGATTTTCGAGGTTCCAAGTTCCACTGCATCTGCGATTGAATAATTTAGTATAGCTTTTTTCTTCCTTATTCATTCTTAATTTGTTGCTTTACTTAGGATTCAAGCAGGATCAACATCCAAGGTTGCTCTTTTGTTTTTTCTTTTTCTCTTTCTTCATGTTTGATGCTGTAATAAAGTGTGAACATACTCTCGGGTATCATGATTCATGGGGTTTTGTCACATGATAGGAATGATGCTTATTGAGAGAAAAAGAAAAGGTGAAAAGAATAAAGTTGCAAGCTTTATGGCTCAGGAAGTGGATAATTAAGCTTTAAGTTTGATTTCACAACATGTTTGTTTAACTGATGATGCTGTAGGGAAGAAAGTATATCTATGTTCTTGGCACTTTGAGCTATGGGCCTTCTGTGTACAGAATTGATTCAACATGTATCTGTTTGCCAATTGAGCTGTAAATTTTTCTTTGTTAGTGGTGTGCAAATAAATATTAAGCAGTAGATATTCTGTGACGTCTGTATATGTGAGTTTGTGGGAATATGCGGCTGGGCTTTGTGTATCCCTTTCCGTTTTCGTATACATCCCGACTAGTATGATTCTGCAGCTAAGGTTCTTTCATCATCCTTTTACTTTTCTTTTATATAAAATTCAGAACAATATGGCTGAATATAAAATTGTGATTATATCAATGAACAGAGTCTCACTCAAAGTTTTCTCATCATAACTGTAACTGTTAATTTTTGTGGTCCTTCTCAAGCTCCTCTGTTTGACCTCTCAAGAAGTGGACATGTCTGGCTATTGAACACAAAATGAAATCCAAGTTCTTAAGTCAAACAACAACAATTGTGCATGTTGTGTGTTGTTGACTTTAATTGCAGTAGTGAGCGTTTCTAGAGCCATAATATGGGAACCTTGAAAGAAGTATATTAACTTGGATTTTTGATGGACTGTGCTACTATAGAGTATGCAGCATATGGAAGTATTATGCCACAACTATTCCAAAAAATTAAACATAAATAGATAGCATGTTAGGTTACCGATAATCTTGTACAGAGAAGTTTTCTATATCATTATGACATTCAGTTTCAACATTAAAACTTACAGGAGGAAACAATCCGCGAGACAATCGAGGATGTAGGCTTCGAGGCCTCACTGATTAAGGAGGAAATAACCGAGAAATCCTTTCAGGTGTGCCGAATTCGGATAAAAGGAATGACATGCACTTCTTGCTCCACAACAGTGGAGTCCCACCTGCAAGGACTGCCTGGCGTGCAAAAAGCCCGAGTTGCATTGGCAACTGAAGAGGCTGAAATCCGTTTTGACCCGAATATCCTCACTCATGACCAGATACTAAATGCTATAGAAGATACTGGGTTCGAGGCTATTCTGGTCAGCTTGGGAGAAGATAGGTGCAAGATACATTTACTCGTCGAGGGATTACATTCCCAGAATTCCATCCGGTTAATCGAAAATTCTGTTCAAGCTTTGCCGGGTGTTCAAGACGTCAACTTCGATCTTGACCTCAATAAGTTATCCCTCTCTTACCAACCAGATTTGATAGGCCCCAGAAGTTTCATCGAGATTATCGAGTCAACTGGGTTGGGAAAGTACCGGGCGAAGATATTCCCTGAAGGCGAGTCAAGAGAATCTCACAGAGCAGAGGAAATCAAACAATACTACAAATCTTTCCTCTGGAGTCTGGTTTTTACTGTGCCTGTTTTCTTACTTTCCATGGTCTTCATGTACGTGCCCGGCATAAAGCACGGGCTCGACACTAGAGTCGTGAACATGCTCACGGTCGGGGAGGTTTTGAGGTGGGTGCTGTCTACCCCGGTTCAGTTCATTATCGGGAGAAGATTCTACATTGGTGCTTACAAGGCATTAAGGCACGGGTCAGCAAACATGGATGTCCTAATTGCACTAGGGACAAACGCAGCTTATTTTTACTCGGTCTACTCAGTTTTGAGAGCTGCCAGCTCGCCGGATTTCGAGTCAACCGATTTTTTCGAGACGAGCTCAATGCTCATCTCGTTCATACTTTTGGGCAAGTATTTGGAGGTCATGGCCAAGGGGAAAACGTCCGAGGCCATCGAGAAGCTCATGGACTTGGCTCCAGAAAGAGCGACCCTTTTGAGTCTGGATAACGAGGGGAATGTGTTGAGAGAGGAGGAAATTGATGGTCGGCTGATACAAAAGAACGACATTTTGAAGATCGTGCCGGGCTCTAAAGTGGCTTGTGATGGGTTTGTTGTGTGGGGCCAGAGTCATGTGAACGAGAGTATGATTACAGGGGAGTCAAGGCCGGTGGCGAAAAGGAAGGGTGATATGGTCATTGGAGGGACTCTGAATACGAATGGAGTGATGCATGTTAAGGCAACTAAGGTGGGGTCGGAGAGCGCTCTTGCGCAAATTGTTCGGCTAGTTGAGTCGGCTCAAATGGCAAAAGCGCCTGTTCAGAAGTTTGCTGACCGTATTTCGAAATTCTTTGTTCCTCTGGTATATATCTACATTTTTACTTGTTGGAGTTCGACAAATGACTTGGTAGAAAATTGCACTTTTGGTCTCAAAGAAACTTTTTTTCTCTTTCCTCCTTTAGTTTTCTTGGTTATTTTTTTCTATTTTCAGGACGAAAAATGCAACAGTTAATTTTTTATGGGATGTATCAAGGCCAATTTGTTAGTACTGATACTGAAACTGCATAGTAATGGGGGTAAAACATGCAATTACCCTCTTTTGGCCTGAGCTCAAAGTTTGACACTGATTTTGCAATAGTGCAGGTTATATTTCTTTCATTCTCGACTTGGTTTGCCTGGTTTCTGGCGGCAAAGTTAAATGGCTACCCAAAATCATGGATACCTTCGTCCATGGATAGCTTTCAGCTCGCGCTTCAGTTTGGCATTTCAGTTATGGTAATAGCGTGCCCGTGTGCACTTGGTCTGGCTACACCAACAGCTGTTATGGTTGGCACAGGCGTGGGTGCTTCTCAAGGCGTCCTTATTAAAGGGGGGCATGCATTAGAAAGCACACATAAGGTAGGGTGTGCAGTATAATCCAGTCACTAGTGCGTTTATAATTTTCTTTTATTTTATTTTTTTTTCTTTGGAGAGCAACTGATGATCTTCACTTAACTAGTTTGTATTGGCTGTTGTAACAGGTCAACTGTATAGTTTTTGACAAGACAGGAACCCGTACGGTTGGAAGGCCGGTGGTTGTCAACACAAGGCTTCTGAAAAACATCGTCTTGAAAGATTTCTTTGAAATAGTTGCTGCTGCTGAGGTATTCATTCAACGTCAACATGGCCGAAACTTGTCGTGCAAAGTTGAATCGAGTTTTTATATTTTAAGCCTCAATAGTCTCATTTGTTTATCAATCTAGAAATGATTTCTTACCAGGAAAAAGATATCAAGAGCGATTCATTTCCCCATTCTTTCCAGTTAAATAATTGCATATATACCATCTTGGTCATTTAGTTCTGCTAATAATGTATCAAGTCACCTTTCGTCTTGTCTTGCTTTCATGAATTGTATGGGAAAAATAATAATGACGCGTGATTACTTGTTTGTTTATTAGGTAAACAGTGAACACCCATTAGCCAAGGCAGTTGTCGAGCATGCCAAGAAGTTCAGCCAAGAAGCAGCGAATTCAGTTTGGCCTGAAGCTGTAGGCTTCGAGTCCATTGCAGGTCACGGTGTGAAGGCCGTTGTTCGAAACAAGGAGGTCCTAGTCGGAAATAAAAGTTTAATGGTTGATAACAATATTAAAATCTCACTCGATGCTGAGGAAATACTCTCAGAAACCGAAAGCTTGGCCCAAACAGGAATCCTTGTGTCCATCAATCAGGAGCTGGTGGGAATAATTGCGATATCTGATCCTTTGAAGCCCGGAGCCCGTGAAGTCATATCCTTTCTCAAGTCTATGAAAGTCAGAAGTATAGTTGTCACGGGTGACAATTGGGGAACTGCAAATGCGATTGCCAAGGAAGTCGGCATCGACAGTGTTGTTGCTGAAGCCAAGCCTGAGCAAAAAGCAGAGATAGTCAAGGAACTACAGGTCAAATTTTATTTTATGCATTTAAAAAAATAAATAAAAAAAAAGCATGATGAATGCAATCTCAAGGGTGATTTCATAATTTCCGCAGGCGGGGGGCAACGTGGTGGCAATGGTGGGGGACGGCATAAACGACTCGCCGGCCCTCGTGGCCGCCAACGTCGGCCTGGCAATCGGGGCCGGCACGGACATCGCGGTGGAAGCTGCCGACATCGTGCTGATGAAAAGCAACCTTGAAGACGTCATCACGGCCGTCGATCTCTCGAGGCGGACTTTCTCGCGCATTAGACTCAACTACTTGTGGGCCCTCGGCTACAACGTGCTCGGCATCCCTGTGGCTGCCGGAGCACTATTCCCGTCAACCAGATTCCGGCTGCCGCCGTGGGTTGCTGGGGCGGCAATGGCGGCATCATCGGTTAGCGTGGTCTGCAGCTCGCTGCTGCTCAAGAATTACAGGAGGCCTAAGGAGGTGGATGGGCTTGCCATTAAAGGGATTACAGTTGAGTAGAGTTTAATTGGGTATGTTCTTGGTGGATGGATGTGTTGGTTGACTCAACCTAAAATTTTATTCTTATTTGTACTTCTCATCAAGTAAGTTGACAAATTCATCAAAAGCTGTACATTAATCACCCTCTCAGAATCAGAATACTTTGCTAACATGGTCAGATTACATTTTCAATTTCATCCTCGTCGTGCCTCCGCTCGGGCGGGTTGAATCTGCAGTGTACTAGAGGACGTTTTTGGGTACGTTGGCCGGGTCTAGTTAGCCATCCATTAGGGAAGTTTCTAGATCCGGTGTGCTGGGCCGTGGACCTTGTGACTTCTTCTTGGTGGGTCGCGTTAGGTGTTGTCTCGGGTTGTGACGGTGCTGGTTATTCTTAGCTGGGGGAGGACTTTAGTTTAGTCTAAATATTAGACTATCTTGAAGTCCTAGCTTAACCTGTTTCTAAACCAGTTTGCCTTTGAGATCCTAATCGACTTGATACATTGCCGACCTTGAGTCTTCATGTTGTCCGACCCCTAATCGAGCTAGCGGTCCACTTGAACCGCTTGAACTTCTCTCAAATAACACGAGCTCTAATGATTGGTCTAATATACCATATCACATTTGAATGACAAAAGTGGAAACCTTTGTCCCATATTTACTTAATCCAATTTTCAATGCTCACATCATAGGAGCATTATTTGTGGCCATAACCTTAAGTTATAGTGACATGCACTAGCATCAAAGTCCAAAAATTAATTATCATGTCTAACCAATAATTGCATTTCTGTACCTTAAATTTTGGCTTCAGATAATAATAATAATAATAATAATAATAATAATAATAATAATAATAATAATAATAATAAGGAAATAAGAAATTATTATTATTTTGATATACAGAGCCTTTTGCTGACTAAAATAGGGATGGTCAAATTCCAGTCCATCACTCCACTCCAACCCTATCCTCCTTTTCTGGATGGATACATAGTTTTCAATTTTGAGAAATAAATATGAGAAAGTGAGTGATGCATTTTTTTTAGGTAAGGGGATAATAAAAGAAAAGAGTTGGTAGAAAATGAGATAGAAATTTAACATAAAAATCCATATGATACATATGCACCGGATTTTGTGAGATAATTAACCAAAAAAAATAAAAAAAATCGATCGTGTGAAACAAACACACCGGGAACAATATACCGGGCGAAACAATGATACAAAATTCCAACAAAATTTATAACATCGTAATATCCATTGAAATTAATTTAAAAGTATCATTAAAATCTATTTCCGTTACGTTTTCATCAAATTTTTTTAGTGTTAATAATAGTTAAGTCTCTCTTATATTCCGACTAGCTGCCTTACTTGTAATAACTACAAACTACTTTTCTTCTTCTTCTTCTTTATGTATCTATTATTATTGTATTTCCAATAGTAATTAATAATTCTAAAGCAATGAGATAGGAGAGCTTTTTTATTTTTTTTTTTTTTTGGTACAAAGATGGAGGCCAGAGGCCTGAAAAACTACGACACTAGAATTCGACGTGGGTTCATGATCAATCCATGCCTTCAGCCCATGGGGGGGTGCCGAGACTCTCTGGAGGCTGCTAAGGTCGCCATATGGTCAGCTGCAAAGTTGGCTTCCCTATGTACGTGCTGAATTCGAACATTTCAATCTTTCTCTACTAAGCTCCTGATAGATCTGACAAGAGACTCGTGGACTCCAAAGTGAATCTTGGGCCCAAGCACCATTTGAAGCACACGTTTGCTATCAACCTCAGCTACTACACGCCGGTATCCCAGATCCCACGCCAGCTGTAGGCCCTGAAACAATCCCCATAGCTCGGCTCCGGTGATAGTGCTAATCCCTATATTCATAATAAATCCTTCAATTCATTGTCCGGTCTCACTCCGAATCACTCTACCCGCACTAGATAGACCTGTGGTGCGACTAAACGCCCCATCTGTGTTAACTTTGACACAGATGTGAGATAGGAGAGCTTTAAATCCACTAAAATTACTTTAAGAAACCAATACATTAAAGGCTTTCGGCTTTATTCGCAAATCATTCAAAAGTTGGCGCACAATACACATTGCATGACTGACTCGCAATTCCTATTTAACCACCGCCAGAAATTAAAATAACGTGCAACAAATTAACACACATAAACAATACACACTACCTCCAAGAACACATACTATAAGCAGAGTTGATAATGGCGGCAAGGCTGCTGACGTTACTGTCTTGTATGAGGAACAAAAACAGCAACTTATCATCGGACGACGAAGAAAAATGCGCGAAAGCAGTATCGGAAGCAAAGGCCTTATTCACGGTGACCGGAATGACCTGTTCCGCCTGCTCCGGCGCGGTGGAGACTGCCATCAGACGCCTTCCGGGGATCAACGAGGCGGCGGTCGACGTCCTCAACCACCGCGCGCTAGTCGTTTTTTGTCCGGCTTTCGTTAATGTAAGTTTCGTATTAGTTAATTAACTAGAAGTGTTGTTAATTTGAGGCTGTTGCGTTTCTAATTGGTGTATATGATATTTTCTAATTAAATATGACGACTTGATTGTTAGGCGGGCCTAATATAAGACCTCCGTTTCATTTATAGTCCATTAAGTTGATTTTTTTTTTTTTTTTATAAAAATATATATGCCGGCCTTATGGTTGGGCAACTACATGTTTAAATTGGATTTTATATTTTCAAATTAAATATTACATAATACTCTCCAAAAACAACATAAATAAATAAATAAATGTATAACATTTTATAACACAAGTATGTATTTTAATATTGGTAATAAAAAAGTATAAATGATTGTTGGAATATCTCTTGTGAGTTGTCCCACATTGATTCTATAAAGAAAATGAATCTAGTATATAGGTCTAGTGGGCTATTTGAAATACGGGAAAGAAATACCATTCAGTTAATATTTCCAGAGGGGTTGCAAATGGAAATGTCGGTTCACCCATCACCAATTGGTTTTGGGATAACATGGTATCAGAGGACCTGCAATGACTCGGACCGCACCTTCTTCTCCTAGTTCTAATTAATAACATGGTATCAGAGGACCTGCAATGACTTTCTCTATCCGGTCTGCTCTGAGTTTGGACTTATCTCTCTACCTGGTATGCTCTGTGGGCATGGGCTTACGAAGGACTCACAAGTAAAGGGATAGAAAAAATAAGCCTAGTACATAAGCCTAGTAAACTACTCTTCCCATCACAAATTGATTTTGAGATAAAATCTCACTAAGGTCTCTTCTGCCAGTTCTAACAACGGTCAACCCTCTAATGGTTAAGTTGTTTAAAAAAAATGTACTTCCAGAAAATATACACTAAGTTTAAGACACACAAAAAACTTGGTACACTCAAAATCATTAGAAAAATGTCAATTTTACAAGTTAGTGTGCCAATTTCATGATATTTTTTTGTTACAGTAACGTGCATAATAAGTTTGTTCGAAAAAAAAAAAGGTATTACTATTTACCGCCCCTTTTACTAATCACCGCCCCCCCAATTACGTTTTTGCCCTTCATACTATCTCTCTACTTTATTTCTCTACTCTTTCCCTCTCGACTTTTCACGGCTCTTTTGACCGTCAAAAAAATTTTGAAAAAATCCAAAAAAATACCATGACATCGGCAAGATATTGAAGATTGACTATGTATTTTTTTATATTTTTTTACATTGTAAATAATTTTTAATTTTTTTTTATTTTTTTTTTTT